CTTCATCCAACCTCGGCCTTCTCTCGCCTTTACTTTAACTCCTCTTTCCACTGCTCCTTCTCACTGCTGTCTTTCAGCCACACCCCTGGTCTTAGTGTAGGTAATACATAATATATAAAACACCCAGCCTTCTCGGATAAGCGCGAAAAATTCTTTTCATATCTTGTTCATTGATGATCCATGCATCATATCCACACACCGCAGCGGGGAAAAGTATGTGTCATGACGCGGTGGAATCAGGCTCTCGTCAATTTCGGGGCATATGGAGTTATTGGTATCATCTTAAAGCTTGTCCATTTGCCTTGCTTTTGGTGAAAACAATATCTATTTATCTTGGTTAGAAGTCAAGATATTGGTGATTGAAGGAGGTGGGGTGGTCTGGTTTCAGAGGTAAAATTAGTGAGAAAATGGCCGCCAAAGTTGAGTTATTTCCTAAACTTGAGAGCCCATCTAAACTAAAAAAATTTACATCTCTTATGCCTTAAATCAACGTTTTTTCCGCACAATCCACACAGAAATGTGTTCTTTAAAGGGCGTGAAAGGTGTTGAGCCAAAAAACAAAAATTCTTTTAAAATTCCCAAACCTGCGGAAAAATGCCAGTTTCTTGACTTTGACTATTTTGACGAGAGCCTGATTTCACCACGCTGCCTCACATATACCATTGCACACCCACTCTTTGCATTGTCCTTGCCTGATAGATGTCATCTTTTTGAGTTTCGATGTTGTGACTGCGATTCTCTGTTTATAATCTCTGTGGTGGTTGTTTTCTCATTTGCCTCAGTCATCGCCCCAACATACTGCTCACTCTTTCCATCTCCTCCTTATCAATGTTTTTTTGTTTTTTTATGGTAGAGGGTTTTACGGCGCTCGCAACTGCATAAGGTCATATGAGCGCCAAGGGGTGGGTGTCAACAGAGGTCTTTACAGGGAATCAGACTTAGACTGCTCACCTCTCTAACTTCAACAGCACAAGGTCTGCTTCGACTATCAAGGCACCCCAAAATAGCAGGTCACAAAAGAGTGACAAACATACAAAAGAAGTAGAGGAAAATGACAATACATGTAGTAGACCAAGCACAGTTATGAGCGTGACATGAATCAGCTCATTTACAATTCTTCTATGCTTGAACGAGATATGCCCCCCCACTTTTGGGAATGGCCTAAAGACACTTCAGTCTGAGGCACTGCCCCGAGGGGTAGCCTCTTCTTTGCATTTGTCTATGTATATATACATGTACTATTTTTTACTCTTCTCATTGTTTTTAGTTTTAGTAAAGTAAAGGTTTTAAGGGGCTCGCAACTGCTTAAGGTCATATGAGTGCCAGAAGATTAGAGGTGTTACAAGAGAGTAACAAAAATAAAAAAGAAGAAGGGGAGATAAGGATGATAGATGTTTGATAGGAAAGAAGAAGCAAACCACACCAGAGCACCCACCAACCACCCACTATCAATGTTTAATACAGCCTCTTCTTTGCATTTGTCTACGTATATAATACTTTTTACTCTTTTCATAGTTTACATAGAGAGAGCAATTTGCTTCTAGATGGAAAAAAAAAAGACAAAGACAAAGAAAGTGAAAGGTAATGACAAAAGATGTTTCGATAAGAAAGGAGCGCCTTACAAACACAAGTAGCAACATATGATAAACAGCAGATTCTTTGTTTTGTTTAAGTATGTGTGCTTTAAAGCACTTGCAACACACTAAGGTCATATAAGAGCTGAAGATTAGAGATGTTACAAGAGAGTAACAAACACAAAAAAGAAGGAGGAGAGATAAGGACGATAGATGTTTGATAGGAAAGAAGAAGCAAACCACACCAGAGCCCCCACCAACCACCCACAACAATAGATTCTGTTCTGACAAAAAATCTACATATTCTCTAAAAATGCTCTTAATAAGTAAGATACACTGGGATACCGGGAAATGAAAGAGCTGATGCTCTGGCAAAGAAAGGAGCTAGCCTCCCTCAGCCTGAAATTCCTACGAATTACACCACCTGCTGCCAAATGATCAAGTCAAACTTCAAGGAAGACTGGATGAATGATTGGGCCACAGGTACGACAGGAAGGAGGATGTATGGCCACATGAATAAACCACTGGTCAAAGATCCAATCAATGAGTTGAGGAGGGGAGATCAATCCATAATCGTCCAACTTAGAACACAACATGTACCCCTCAACCAACATCTCAACCGAATTGGAGTAAAGCAGTCTGCTGCCTGCCCACTATGTGACTACCCCTCAGAGACAGTGGAACATCATCTGTTCTTCTGTAGAAAACTAACTGATTTAAGGGGATGTTTTCTTCCCAAGCTACCCCACACATCTAATTGCCTCTACTCCTCAAGACAACAATTAGAACAAACATGCAACTATTAACGAATGGCATCATGCAGAAAAGTTAACGCTCAGATGCTACTGGATCGCTAACAACAACAATAAGTAAGCGAGACAAAAGCAAGAAGAACACTGTACTTGTGGTACAAAAAAGTAGTTTAATCTCATGACTCAGAAAATTTTCTCCGAACATTTACACAACACTGCCATAAGTTGATAAAATGCCTTTTTTTTTCATTTTGACGCCATAATTTTTTATTTGCTTAATCGGAAGTCTCGATCAGCAACCTTACGTGTGTGAAAACAAATCAAAGTGAAACAGTGACTAGTTTTTGAATAAATTCAAATTAAAATTTCGGAATGACTCTATTTTGAAATGGTTACGCTGAACCACCCCCCCCCCCCCCTCCCCCTCTTTTTCTCGAAACTGCTGTGAAGAAAAAAAAAGGCGCTTCGTCAGCTTACGGCAGAACAGGGGTTAAATATTACAAAGTCGAATACACACATCAAAAAGTCATGAGCATGGAAGTAAATCCACAGAAAGAGTCACAAAAATATTTGACAAAACAGATTTGAATGAAGAAAGGGAACAAGTACATGTTTTTTTCTTTGACATACCATTAGATAACATATGTTTCATTCACACGACACACATACAAGCAAGTAAGCTCGTATTACAAAATGAGAGTAACTTTTCAAGCACACTTCATCATAAACAAAAAACACCAGATTATAACATGTAATACTAGTATCATAATACCACTTCATTTTACAAAAAAAACACCCAACCGGGATTCACTGTCATAATTAATATGTAATCCTTCGACTACAACATGTTTCGATGCTCCTAAGCTTGATATAATTACACTGTTGCCATGACTACCCACTCCTCCCACGATGCATCATTAGTATTAGCCACTTCATTACCCAACGTCAATATACAAAGGCTTACAAAAAGAAAATAATTCAGTGCAAAATACTTTATATTTAGAGCATTACTTTTCAAAAGTACAGTGAGTCTTACGCTCTCTCTCTACACCAGCAAAAGCTTATCTTGGACAACAACAGTGTACACAATTAAAAACGAGCAACTTTCATAAAGTTAAAAACGTGCTACTAGTATCATTCCGACAAAACAAAAGTATTACAAGACTGGCAACCAATCGTGATAAAAAATTGATCTGCCAGAAAAACAGTACTTGAAAGAAAGACCTTCTCCAGATATATATATATATATATAACTTACTTTCACAGATTGTCATCAAATACCCATGACCCTGACAGCCGTAGCTCTAACCTTAAAAAGTAAAAAGACTACAGCGGAGTGTAAATGATTTTGTACCGGTAGCCTATATGTAAAGATTAAAAGAAATATATGGAAAAATATGCTAAAAATTGGATTCCTTTGAAAATTTGAACAGAATATCTTAAAAAAAATCAGAGTAAACAAGTACACCATCCTTTAATAGTAACAGATAGATTTTTTAAAACTCTCGAAATGTCAACACTCGAGTAAATCGTCCGTAAGTTTTCATTTGAGTTGCTATTTCAGTTACGTTACTCGTAAAAAAAAAAATAATGCCAACCCTTTTAACTCCTTCTAAAAATGAGCTTTATTTCCCCACTTTTGACTTACATTACACTTTCTCAAAATGTTTAGGTTAATAGCCTTTTCTTGCTTGGTTTGCCTGTTCTCAAGCATTCTCCAATAAAGCATGGTGAAATCATATCCACAATTTACCCCTGGCACCACAGGTTATGTGTTAGCGACAGCTAGAGAGTAAAGTAGGGAGCGCCGACTTGATCTCAAACACACGACTGGAATGACGAGACGCACACATTCAAGGTACTCTGTTGTAGTACTATACATAGAGGGGAAACTGACGCAAAGTACGTCGTCACGTTACAGTCTTGCACATGGAATGTATTTATTAAAGCACAAGAAGTTACAAAACTATCATTTTCAAATAACAAAGCACTCATCAAGGCTGTTCTTGAAGACAAAACTAACCATACAGGTTTAAACTAAAGAGTTCTTGAAAATAACAAAATAAACACAAGGTAACTTTGGCTTCTTTTGGTGAATTTACCCTGCAACACTTTTTCAATGATACAGTACGTCATTTGTCCCTATTTTCACTCTTTATGCACAAGAGAGTTTACGCAAATAGACATAAACACCTGATGGAACAGTTGAAACTTCTATACTTTCCACTAACTCTTTCATCAGTCAGTTTTGTGACTAGCTCAATTTCCTTATAAATTAAATATTCAAGGAGCTGCCTTTTTTTAGTACAAGATAACACATTTTTTTTCAAGCCCTGAAAATGACGGCAGTAACAATACAGAAAGGCTACTTTCAATTAGAGCGCAATAATTCAGTTCGAACAAAGCAAGCCGGCACAAAATATGTTACCCAAAGTGACCTGAGACTTACGAAATGAAAAACATAAACTGCAGCTGGCTTGTAGGGCCGTTGTTGAGAGAAGAAACTATACGCTCCCCAAAAGTATGTGATCATGAAGGGTCTCAAGAAGTGTACAGGAACTAAATGTATACGCGACATCAACAAAGTCTTGTGAAAAAACAAGCCTCTCTCATGCCATAACAAAGGGGATTGATTGCACACACACACACCTTTATAACTAAAGCTTATGACCTTCACTTCACACATGCCAAATGTTCTGAAGAACCAGCCTTACAGATGTACCACAGTGAACAGTCTCATTCATCTCAATGACTAAAATGTACTACTAAGTAAAGCAAAAAGGAAAGCGATACAAAAATAAACCCGAAAAACTTACACTGAAACAAGGTTAAACGCACAACACACTTGAAAAGCTCTTGTACATTGGTACTTTACGTTTACCAAGTACAAAGACATAAATTGAAAATTTGAAATCAAGGAAACGGGGAAAGAAACGGGTGATAATCGAGACCATACTATAGACAAAAGCCTGACACAACGGGCCAATCACGTGCATTGGAACAGCACCATAATATCAGTGCGCGAGTATCACAAAATCCCATTTGACATCAACCCGTCCCCCTGTTCCATCACTCCCCCCCCCCTCCCCCCTTCCCACCCCGTCCCTTACTAAACAATAGGAAAGCCTAGAAGGAAGATGAAGACATTGCATATACATATAAATATGACACCTGTTGCGTTGTACGTTCTGTCGCTGACACACTCAAAAGGTGGGCACTTTCATTGGGAAGTCATTTGTATCTGAGGAGAGAAAGTAAAAACTGGGTCACCTACTGAGAAGAAAATGCAAGAAGAAAACAAAAACAAGTCTCAACAAAAAAATCTTTAACAATTACTAAAATACATTTAAACAGTTGATAAATCAGCATCAAAATATAATTGGGTAATTGGCGGGTGTTCTTGCGTGGTCTCCTCTTTGTTCACCGTTCTGGAGTCATTGTATCCATTGTCATGCTGATTGCCGTAAACTACAACCCAACAACATAATACGTAACGTCGTGGTGGAATCAGGCCGTCGTGATGGAATCAGGCCGTCGTCAAATTTGGGGCATGTGGACTCATTGGTATCATCTTAAAGCTTGTTCACTTGTCATGTTATCGGTGAAAAAAAAATGCCCATCTATCCTCGAACAGAGGTCACGATATTTGAGATTGAAGAAGGTGGGGTCTCTTGGTTTCAAAGATAGAATCAGCGAGAAAATGGCCCTCAAAGTTTGGTTGTTTCCATGGCTTGACAGTCCGTGGAAACTGAAAACGTACATTTTTTTGTGCCTTCAATCAACATTTTTCAGTAAAATCCACCCAGAAATGTGTTTTTAATTGGATAACAATGGTGTTAAGCCAAAAAACAAAAATTCAATAAAAATGACCAAACAGGCAGAAAAATGCGTTTCTTCAATTTCATTATTTTGACGAGTGCCTGGTTTTACCATGCTGCCTCACATATATTTTGAAAATAAAGTTGAAAGGAGGGATCAACCTATCTTCTCTTCTTTTGTTAAAACAATTAAGCCACTGTATCTCCAGACCCTTGCTTCACCTTGTCTTGACATGTCACAGCTCTCTTACGATGAGGATGAATTTACAAATTATAATAGTAAAAATAAATAGCATTTGCACCGAGCATATTCCTGCTAAACAGTCAGCTCTATAGGCTTTACAATCTATATTATTACCTCAACAGACCCTAGAAACTAACAAACACTCTCGACTTCCAAGGAATTTTTACAGCGCAAGCAGCCGATTGAGCACAGCCCAAGCAATAACAACCAAACAAGATCTGTCACAGTCTACAGCCGGGGACCCATTCCAACTTGGGAGAAGTGAGGAACATGTGTGCGAAGTGCCTTTCCCAAGAACCTTACCTTGGGCCCCTGATGGGTTCGAATCCACAACCTTTCAGCTGCGACCCCAACAAATGATTAAAAGGGAAAAAAAAAGAAGAAAATCACTCCTCACCTCTTGGAGGCTCACACAGTTTGATTTTCTGGCAGAAGGAAATCGGGAATCTGAAATTTGCAATCTCCTTCACAATAAAAGGAAACTCGGCGTCCACCATTGCCTTGCACACGGCTTGTTCCTTCGGCAGAGAGGCACACATCTTGTACAAAATCTTCTTTCCTTCAGCCTGAGAAACCAAACACAGAAACAAAGACACAGTTAGTCTTTACACTTTGTCTAAGTATTGTCAGTTGGACAAAAGGGCAAGAGCTGGATCGATAAGAACAACAACAACAACAAGTATTGTCAATTAAGGAGAGAAAACAGAGAAAGGAGCCCTTCATGAATTGACAAGAAAGTAAAAAAAAGAAAACAGCCAGCCCTTGTCTGACATTTCTGGTTTTCTTTTTACTAGATTCTATATGTTCGTATTTCAACTTTCATATTCAGACCGAGAAATGGCATGTAGATGAATAATTTAATGCTTTCAATATCAAGAAAATCATAATTATGTTTTAAAATAAATCTCCTTCACAATCAGGTAAACCTTTTTTATTAGAAAATGCACTGATACAAAAAATAACCCTCGTTAGTGCTTTTACTGTAGGAAAGAAACGTGAAAGTCATAGAAAAAACCCAACAAAAAACAGAGGAGTGTAAAATCTGTGAGGAGGCAGTACGTCCTCCGACTGACCTGTCCCCGTGGATGAGACATGACATTCTGCACCTCGTACAGGGCCAGCTTGCACATGCTGCAGTACTTCATCACCTCGGGCTGGCCGGCTGTTTCCACGACACGCTCTGACTCAAACATCAGAGACTTTGTCCTCTCTGTGGAGAAATATGCTACATCAGTGGAAATAACTTTGTTCACTAGTAGTTTTTATTAAAAAGCATAATTCTCTGATCCCTTAATTTCATTGTTCTTTTCCAGAAAAATGAATCCACATTTCTGAAAAGTTACTGCTCATTTCTAACGAAAAATATTTCTAATAAAGGAATACTGGTGCATCCAACAAATGAATCACTAAAATTTGAGTTACCACATCAAAGTAGCAAAAAGCCTTTTGTTAACATAACTAAGAAAATCATCATCAAATGCTAAATGTAAGTCTTCGCTATACACCATTTAGAAAAGTGACATTTGACTGAGTCTTCCACTGAGCAGTCGCTGTGTTTTTTGACCATTTCTGTAAAGCCACGAAATATTTCCAATATGGACAATAAAGTATTATGTCATCTTGTCTTCTGCTGTTTTGGGGAAAAAGGACGAATATCGCAACATACTCATTTTCCAGGAGGGCTAAAAAATCAAATTTATTTGTCAAATTGGTTTTTTATTTTATTTTTAACTTGATTTTTTTTCAGGAGGAAGGATGGTGCAATTATGTACTTGTAGTTAAAATTTTGTTCGGAAATATCAACACAATTTTGTGAGAGAAGACAAAAGTCATTCTTTCATAACAGATTGATGACGTTTTAGTTAGCTTTTTATGGGAAAAGGACGAACAGCGATATTCGTCTTTCTTTCACCCTACGGTGTCAAATAGTAACGTCCTGGATTTTTTGTTTCTGTGATATTTGAGGTTCGTCTGGTTTTATGTAAGTTTTTTGGGGCTCCAGACTGTTATTTAATAGTGCTTTGCCGGCGGAGCCAAAGATACGGGGTTCAAATTCTGATGAGTGTACACAAGCAGTGGTGCTTGTTGTCTTACTGCGTGCAATACACTTGAAACTGCGGGGATCAACGCCGGATATGCCAGGATTTGAGCCTTTTGGTATTTCATCATAAGACCTGTGGCATTGTAACGTAGGCTTGTTTTGGCGAAGAAGGACGAATATTGGTATATTCGTCGCTTTTTCGTAAACAATTTTTCCTTTTCGCTTGCCAATATACAGCTGAGGGCGAACCTCTCGGTATTCGTCCTTTTTTCACAGTAGGACCGGATATTCGTCTTTCTTTCATAAAATATAAAATAAATTAAAAAGAAAAAATTATGACGATACTTCCAAAACCCTAATAAAGTATTCGAACATCTCTAAATCTAATGGCCACTGGTTCAAAAGATGCAGCTTTTCATGCTCTTTCACATGGTATCGATATCTCTATATGACCAAATTTCTGACGTTCGTCCTTTTTTCCGAAGACGGCAGTCTTATCTAATCTTCTCTCTCTCTCTCTCTTGCCCTTTTTAACTCCCAGTGGAGCATAGGCCAACATTTCTCCAGCGAAGCCTGTCCTGTGCATCCTTTTCTAGCTGTTTTATCTAATCGTACCCACCTTTACTCCCAGTTTTTGGGCAGAGACCCACAAAGGAGCAGAAGCCCTTGAGGTCCAGCCCCTTCTTGATGTACTCGATGATGGCCGGGGCGTACATAGTGACCAGGTCCTTGCACTGGGCTTGCCAGTCGGTACGCAGCTGGTCACAAACACCGTCCAGGAACTTTTCAACTCCCGCCTGGCAAGAAAACAAACATGAGAGATAAGATAAAATAAGATGAGATACGATAAGATAAACTTTACTGATCCACAAGGGAAATTTTGGGTGGATATACCAGAACATGAATATACAAAGATTGTGCATCTCTGGATCGATAACAACAGCATCAACACACAAATGCACTCTATACAGAAACCAAAGGTATGGTAACTTCTCTTTTTTTAAAGTAGGTTTTTTTAATGCCCCCATCAACACATTTTAGATCATTCAGGAGACGGGCTGTGACTGTGACCCTGCCTGTCAGAACCAACTTGGGTTGAGAGGAAGGCTACATCCCTGCAAAAATACTGAAATAATAAGAATTTCCCCCACTCAGGAATGGAACTCTGGTGTTTGTGTGTGACAGCGAGTACCTAACCACTACATCACAGATTCCGGTAAAGGTGAAATCTCTGAACCTCGTCAGGACAAACCTGACAAATAAGGAAGACATGTAGAGACGGTCTAGAAAAAAATCCAAGCTTAAATCAAATGACAATGAACATAACAAATTACCATTGGCAAGTTTTCAATGATGAAATCTTCTTGACAAGTCTTTAAACTTCAAAAGAAGAACACATCTGCATCTATTTGTCTATTTGATGGTACACTAACAATTATCCTCATTAACATGCTTATTGCCAGCAAGCTGTTCAAAATGGATTTAGCCAGAAAGAAAAAGTTTTTCAGGAGCGAGACAAAAAAACAACTGTTTAGTTCTGTAAACCTTTACAGCCCCAGTGGCCTTTGTTTGCCACATAGAGTTCTCGTTCCCCCACACCCTGTCGCTTATATTTCCCCCACACCCACACCCTGTCGCTTATATTTCCCCCACACCCATACCCTGTCCCTTATATTTCCCCCACACCCTGTCCCTTATATTTCCCCACACCCTGTCGCTTATATTCCCCCACACCCTGTCGCTTATATTTCCCCCACACCCTGTCCCTTATATTTCCCCCACACCCTGTCCCTTATATTTCCCCCACACCCTGTCCCCACACCCTGTCCCTTATATTTCCCCCACACCCTGTCCCTTATATTTCCCCACACCCTGTCCCTTATATTTCCCCCACACCCTGTCCCTTATATTCCCCCACACCCTGTCCCTTATATTTCCCCCACACCCTGTCCCTTATATTTCCCCCACACCCTGTCGCTTATATTTCCCCACACCCTGTCCCTTATATTTCCCCACACCCTGTCGCTTATATTCCCCCACACCCTGTCCCTTATATTTCCCCCACACCCTGTCCCTTATATTTCCCCATACCCTGTCCCTTATATTTCCCCCACACCCTGTCGCTTATATTCCCCCACACCCTGTCCCTTATATTTCCCCACACCCTGTCCCTTATATTTCCCCCACACCCTGTCCCTTATATTCCCCCACACCCTGTCCCACCCTGTCCCTTATATTTCCCCCACACCCTGTCCCTTATATTTCCCCCACACCCACACCCTGTCCCTTATATTTCCCCCACACCCTGTCCCTTATATTTCCCCCACAGGGCCCCACTGCGCATCCCCACCTGAAACCCAGTTACATATTTCTACCATAATCTATCCAAATTGTCTCGGAAAATAATAATTTTTTGTCTTATTAATTAATTGTCAAACAAAACCTGCGTTGAAATTTTTTTTCAATGTTGGAAACAAAAACCCCCACAATTTTTAAATTGCAAACACATCCAGTGGCCTCAGGAGTTAAAAAGACCTCCCCACCTGAAACCCAGTTACATATTTCTAGCATAATCTATCCAAATTGTCTCGGAAAATAATAATTTTTTGTCTGATTACATGTAATAAACTGTCAAACAAAACTCGCATCTAAATTTTTCTCAATGTTGGAAACAAAAAACCCCCAAATTTGAAATTGCAAACACATCCAGTGTTAGCTAGGCCTGAGGAGTTAAAAAGACTCCAGTATAAAATACCTGCGCCAGAAGAAAGAGAGGGTTAAAACTAGCCAGGTGCTATTAGGGTTAACACAATTGTACCTGCATTATGTATTTTTGAGCCCTTTTTTCAACATAATAATTTTGAATTTCTGCGAAATATTTCTTGGCCACATGCAAACAATACTACAGATTAAGAAACTGCATTAAAAAAAAACAACTTAAAAAAAAACTATTAAAATTTTATAAATTAAAAATGTACAAAGTTTTGGGCTTAGTACAATAATGAACAGCTGCCTGACTCTACGCATCCTTTTAATGAAATGTGGGAATTTAAATAAGGCACCTGACAGAAAGGACAGAAACTTTGCATTAAACACTTGAGAGCAGAAGCATTATGACAGACAACTAAACTTTATAGACTCAAGAAGTAGCCACTTACTGTCATTTCAAGCATCATTTCTCATTAATCTACAATTTTACCACCAAACCTACATAATGGTCATAATATGTCACACACTTTCCCTTCTTTGATGAAAGCTACAGTAACAAAAATAAAATATTTATGGAGGCCATCACAATAGACTGCCTTTCAAGCGTTTGATGTGTGCATTTTCTACAGGAAAACAAAGCCCTCTCTCAGTGCACTGAACCGTGATGGAGTGAAAAAGCCCCCTCATTTAACACATCTGTTACTGTGACTAAACACAATGTGCCCCCATCCCACCTTCAACAAGGTGACATTTATTCGGAAAATTGTTTCTCTACATCAGCTGTACTTAGCAAAACACTTTTTAAAAAAAAAGGGGGGGGAGTTGTGTGTGATGAAATAGTAGTAGATCTACCTGGTAAACCATAACAAATGTAGTTTAAAAAAAAGTTTTAGTAGAGATTTTACAGTGCTCGCAACTGCATAAGGTCATATGAGCGCCAAGGGGTGGAGGTCAACAGAGAAGCTCTTACAGGGAATCAGGCTTACTCTGCTCACCTCTCTAGCTTCAACAGCTCGAAATCTGCTTCGACTATCAAGGCATCCCGGGAATAGTGGATCACAAGAGTGTGACAAGCATAAAAAATAAGAAGAGGAAAAATGACGATAGCAAGGATTAGGAAAAAAAAAGCATCAGTTTCCTGTTGCAGTTCAGGCACAGTTGTGAGCATGACATTGATGAATCAGCCCATTTTTCTACAGTGCATAAGAACAGGTTAATGTCCCCCCTTTGGGAATGGCCAAAAGACACTTCAATCAGTAGCACCGCCCCGGGGGGTAGTAACACATTTGATTCACTAAGAGCTAAAATAAACTCAGAATACGCAGTCAGAGTCAGCAGGAGACAGGATCAAGTTCATCTGTCGCAACTTTGAAGGATGTTCAAAAACATAAAACAGATACAGCATTAATGAATTTCTATAAATGACTACTTTGGTGTGACATTGAGGGACCATGTAGTCTCTACAGAAAGACAGCAATAAAAATTTTTAAAATAAAAATAAGGGAGTGGAACTTTCACAACGTAGTGGAAAGTACAAAGCTTATCTAAGGATAATAATAACAGCAATAGTGGCAAAGACAATTCTTTACATCTTGATAAAGACAATTAACTTCATTTAGGAGGCAGGCTGCTTGTAAAGGCTGACTGAGGCAGCTTGTTTTAGTTTTTAGTTTTAGTAAGTGTTTTATGGCACTCGCAACACAAGGTCATAAAAGGGCCGAAGATTAGAGGTGTTACAAGAGAGCAACAAACAAAATAAAGGGGGGGGGGGGATAAAGACGATAGATGTTTGACAGGATAGGAGCAAACCACACCAGAGCACCTGCCAACCACCCATAGGCAGCGTGTGACACAGCATGATAAGTAGCAAAAAAAGATGCACACACTCAATAAAAACAGTCGGCCAGAACAAAATTCAACTGCCGCTCATGAAAATTGAAGTCATGTCTTTTACGTAATACGAAGAATAACCATACCGTTACATTAGGGACACCGGTAAATAATGCCCTAGTTAAACAGATGGTTTGACAGGAACAATAAAAAAAAATAATAAAGCGATAAGTGAGACAAAACTAGTTTTTAATCCTTACAGCCACAGTCACGCAAATTTCCCTCGCGAGTTCTCATTCCCCCAGCCCTATCGTGTATGTATATTTCCCTCAAAGGGCGCCTACCACCTCAACCCAGGCCAGGTATTTTTACTATAATCTATCCAAATGTCTTTAAGGTCAAGGACTCTGGTTTTATCTAGGTCTGAGGGAAGTGAGGTTTAAAAAAAAGCCATTTGCAGTAAAGGTTAAAAAAGGAATGAGTAATTTCATTGCTCACATTATAATCTCATCTACATTAATTGTATTACACGGGACAAAACCTAAGCATGGGACAAAACCTAAGCACAGGCTGTTACATTTCATCATGTGATTATGAGAAATGAGAAAACTCCAAATGTTTTCTCTCCCCTTCAGGTCAGATTGAAACAGAGTGATGTCATCAGGAATCTATCTAACAGGAATCTATCTAACAGGAATCTATGTAACAGGAATCTATGTAACAGGAATCTGTCTAACAGGAATCTATCTAACTGTTCTATGCAAAGAAAGTAAACATTTTCAGGAGAGAATCCACAACAAAAAGGAATGACAATATCAATCACATACACAGAAAGAAACAGACACGATCTTCCGCCTACGAACAGAACATATACAGCTCAACTTCCACCTGAACAGAATATACCCAAAACTTCCCCCAATGTGTCCCTTGTGTGACTATGCATATGAGACTGTGGATCATCACCTGTTCCACTGCACAGCCCTAAATGACATCAGAGCTACCCTTCTCCCTCCGAGACCTAACATAGACAACACACTCTATGGAACATTACAGCAACTGTAGCAAACCTGCACTTATCACTACATGGCATTGGACAGAAGGGCGAGAGCCCAGATGTTGCTGGATCGATAACAACAACAACAACAACAGGAGAGAAACAAAAAAAACTTTTGTTTATTTAATGTTTGTGAGGCAGCGTGGTGGAATCAGGCTCTCGTCAATTTTTGAGCATGTAGAGTTATTGGTATCATCTTAAAGCTTGTTCACTTGTCTTTATTTTGTTGAAAAAAATATCCATTTATCTTGAATACAAGTCGAGATATTTGGGAATGAAGGAGGTGGGGTCACCTGTTTTCTGAAGTAAAATTAGAGAGAAAATGGCCGCCAAAGATTAGTTTTTTCCCTTAGCTTAAGAGTCCGTGGTAACTGAAAAGTTACATTTTTTTGTGCCTTTAATCAACGTTTTTCAGAAAAATCAACACAGAAATGAGTTCTTTATTGGGCATGAAAGGTGCTGAGCCAAAAAACAAAATTTTGATAAAAATTCACAAATCTGCGGAAAAAAGCAAGTTTCTTTACTTTGATTATTTTGAGGAGAGCCTGATTCCACCACGCTGCCTCCCATTTGTAGCTACATTGCATATCTTTTTTGTTTTGCTTTTTTTCCTTAACATTGAGCACATTTATTTTGACAAAATATTTCTTGAGCAGATGCAGCCAATACCACAGATTTTGTTCACTTCGAATTTTTTTTTAAAGGCATAACTCTCTGATTGCTTATCTTTATATAGTTTGTTTTAAAAAAATTGAATTTATATATTTAAAAAAAAGAAAATTTTTTTGGGGTCCAGTCCATGTGAACAGCTAGCTGATGAAATGTTTCTGCTCCCCTTCAGGGTCAAATGCAGTGAAATGTCTTTTTTTGACGTCTTGTGAGCAAGACTTGAATATTATCAAGTTTTCATCTCTTTATCGAACGTACCCCTCTCATCTCTATCACTCTCTTGTAAGCAATTCAGGTTAACTTAGTAATAATAATAATAATAAATAGCATTTGTGAAGCCCATACTCCCGCTCAACAGCAAACTCTATGCGCTTTACACTATATCAGCACACATAAACAGTGGTGTCAGCACACATAAACAGTGGTGTCAGCACACATAAACAGTGGTCTCAGCACACATAAACAGTGGTCTCAGCACACATAAACAGTGGTCTCAGCACACACAAACAGTGGTGTCAGCACACACAAACAGTGGTGTCAGCACACATAAACAGTGGTGTCAGCACACATAAACAGGGGTGTCAGCACACATAAACAGGGGTGTCAGCACACATAAACAGTGGCATAAACCGAAATATGCAAGACCGCCAATTTTTTTTCATTTAAGCCAGGAACATCATCTGTTCTTCTGTAGAAAGCTAACTGATTTAAGGGGATGTTTTCTTCCCAAGCTACCCCACACATGTAATTGCCTCTACTCCTCAAGACAACAATTAGAACAAACATGTAACTATTACCGAATGGCATCATGCAGAAGAGTTAATGCTCAGATGCTACTGGATCGCTAACAACAACAACAACAGCCACGTTTTCAATTTAGAGTGGTTGAAACAAGAAAAAAAAATCTGATATTCTATTTCTTTCGATTTACAGCTGTTTTCCGATTAGCCGTGATTTGTTTAAGCGGACTCCACTGTATCGAGCTCCAACCTCAAACTTACCTCTGTGACTTGCTGCTTCAGCAGTTCCTCAAGTTCTCCCATGATAAATTTGCAGACTTCACAAGTGTCAACCTTGGATTTTTTGACTTGTGCAACTGGAAGAACAAAAGAGAATTCTAGAATCATAACATGCTGACATTATCTATGCTGCAAAAATAATGAGTGACTTCATTTGACACTGAGGGAAAAAAATAGTTACTTGTTTTCTTTAGCCATTATATATATACATATCACTGGTTATTCTTTCTATTATTCTTCACTGTTTCGTTTCAGTCCTTCTCTGTGAAAACTTTTTGAAGCATCACAAAGACCACTTTAAAATACCATTCCATGAAAAAGAAAAAAAAAGACAAAAATCTAGAGAAAAATATATTTGAAGTAGAGTATGACCTTGGCAAGGAAGGGCGTAGCATTGATGGGAAAGGAGTTTACTGTCGTGTCTTTTCAAAGGCAAATTCTTTTTTCAAAGTAGGGGACTTTCTGAGACCATAAATCGAGACAACCAAAATAATTGAAATGTTTGGTATGTGTACATGTATTTTCCAAGTATTTCCAGTTGCTGTGAAGCCAGGATATTCTGAGAGTTTACAGATGATAGTGGTGGTGTATACACATTAAAATTGTCATAGTTTCAAGAAAAATGGCCAACATCAATATATTCTTTTTATTAAAAAAAAAAAAAGTATGTGTTTTTAAAACAACACAATTCAGATAATTTAGGCAGTGGGCTTTTGACCCTGCCTGTCAGGGCCAACCCAAGCTGAGAGGGATACTGTACGACACAGACTGAGATACACAATAAAAAATTGTTCTCTACACTGAATCAAACTCAGATCATCTACATACGATGGTGAAGTGTCTAAACACTACTTCACAAACACCAGTATTTTTTATCTGAACCTGTAATGCACTGTCAGACAGTGTAAACCATTCTCCCTGCAAGTCGTCATGATTTATAAAAATTGTGACAAAGTTATATATATATATTTACCTGTGTTGGGGCAATATCATGACAAATTATATGTTACATATATTTACTCGCATTGGGGCATTATTGTGACAAAGCTATATATAGGCTACATATTATATTTACTGAGTTGGGACAACATTGTGACAAAATTATACATATTATCTATTTACCGGCGTTGGGGCAATATCGTAACAAAATGATGGGTACAAATATTCACCTGCGTCGGAGCAGAGTCCCAGGCCAGAGCAGATGTCGCCAGGTGAGAGCTGGTTGAGCAGCATCTGGACGACCTGGTTCTCGTAGCGGTCCACCCACTCCCTGCAGTCCTTCCTCAGCTCACTCGGCAGTAAGCCACACACGCTGTCCAGAGCTTTCCTGATAGCCTCCTGCACAATAGAAATGTATTTTTATAATCCCGAGCAAGAAGCGTTTTTAGTTTTAGTAAAAGTTTTAAAGACACTTGCAACAAAATAAAGTCATATAAGTGCTGAAGATTAGAGGTGTTACAAGAGAGTAACAAACCCCAAAAAGGAGGAGAAGAGAGATGGACGATAGTTTTTGATAATGCAAGTGTTTAGGTATGAATAAAGCACAAACATTTCAGGTGAACTTGTACCAAACCATAAAAAATAAAAAATCATGACGACAAATCAAAAGCACGCTGAACCGACTATTAATTCTTAGTTTAGTTTTAGTAGAGGTTTTACAGTGCTCACAACAGCATAAGGTCATATAAACGCCAGAAGATTAGTGGTGTTACAAGAGAGTAACAAACATAAAAAAGAAGAAGGGGAGATAAGGATGATAGAAGTTCGAAAGGAAAGAAGGAGCAAACCACATCAGAGCACTCGCCAACCACCCACTATTAATTCTTATTGCCGGCAACAATAGATGCTGGACAAAACAGCAAAAGCAATCTCCTCATGTCAAACATAAAATAAAAAATTGTCACCCAGACACACAAAGGCAGGCATATAAGAAAGTAGTGATTGTTCTATGGAACTTTAACCGTAAGGCTGAACAGCTCAACTGACAATTCTGAACCAAACTATATAAATATGGGAAAAGTATTCGACTAGAAGAGACTGAAAAAAAAAAAATGCTAGACAAATATACTAGGTACGTTAAGAGAGCAATTAGGTGGGAAATTAACAATGGCAAAACAATGTTCTAGAGCAAAAACCTCCATTACCTCGGTAGCGTTGCTCCTCAGGGTTTTCTTCAGCTCCATCATGATGAACTCACAGAGGACACACACCTCCCCGGACGACTGCTTCAGATCTACAAACATATACAAAGTGGACAATGTCAAATTACATTTTCTTCCTTTACCAAACTTATCCTAATAGATAAGTCGCGACTTCAGTGTTTTCTTCTCCTGTCTCCATTTTTAAGAACAGTGAAAACAGTTAATAACAAAGACTGAGTTTAAGAAGAAGTCACATTTTCAATGTTAAAATAAAAGGAGATAGAACAAAAAGCACAGAGGTCGCAAAGTGATGAATAATGGAATTTCAAACAAGAATCTCTTCAGAAAGATTCAGGTATATTGTTTTCATTACTGTTTTCTGTATCATATCACAACTTCAGAGAACACGCGGCAAAACCTCGCCGATCAGAGAGTGCAAAAATACAATAGCAGAGAAATATATCTACACATCTTTCTCTCCTTCTGGAGTTTATCCCCCCCCCCCCCCCCCCAAATTCCTTGAAAAGATTTATATAAGCCTTTTGACAGTGCAATACGTGTTGTGCGAATACAAAATCTTGTTTTTCAGCATCAAGAAAGTTTACATACAGAAAATGGAAGGTTGCCAGAGGCCTAACAAGAAGACTGAATGTGGGTAAGTAGAAAAAGTATGAATGATCACGGCTGTGTTCATTGACTCACCTTGTGTGTGGGTCTGAGAGCAGAGTCCCAGCTTGGTGCACACTTGCTTGGGGTCCAGTTTCTGCAGCAGCAACTTGACGATGATCGGCGCGTACTGCTCAATCAGAGCCTCACATTCTGATCTGACGGCACTTGGCAAGATGTCGCACACCTTGTCCAGAGCAGCTTCTATTTGAGCCTGAAATACACAAACATCAGCCGATCATTATACAAGCCTTCCATCATTTCCAAGTAAATGTAAAGTAAAGTTGTTCCCGCATCTGATCCGGACATTAGAGACTGCCTTGTTAGTGAGACAAGTTCATGGGCCTTCGGCATATTGTGGTAGGGTGGCCAGTTCTTTTCCATGCCGCCTTTACTTCCCCAACTTGAAGTCAGGTACCCATTACAGCTGGGTGGGAAGGAGGGGGCTAAAACAATCTGTGTCCAAACCGAGGCTCGAACCCAGGCTTTCCACTTTGTAGACAAGCGCACTAACCCAACCCCCAAGTAAGATTGACATAATATACAAGTTAAAGAAACTGCAATAGAGAAGAAAATTTAAAAATCAAGTAAACAGAGTAAAAAACTAATTGTTGGGACTAGAACTAAAAGAAAAATGTTCAAGTTTTTATAAAGCAGGGCAATTTTCTTTTACCAGGAAAAATTCCTAGACATCTTGAAACAAAGTGTAAAGTAAATTTTGTCTATGAGTGACCAACTTGCCACAGTGTCTGCACCAAACAAACTTCCTGGGACTATTACAGTATAAATTTCAAATTCGATTTATTCAAAGCATTTAAAGAGAAATGTGAAGATGGAAATTCAGACCAAGTCTATCAAATCATCATCATCATCATCCAGTGCCAGATCTGAGACAGACATCAGCGATCATGGTTTTCCATTCCTTCCTTTGCTCGGATGCTCTCAAAAAAGCTACGTTTCCCTGATCTTTTCCTGTTACCCATTTGTTTAGATTCCCTAAGTATGTTGTTCTGGGCCTACCCCTGCCTCGCTTGCCCTCAATTTTGCCAGTGAGAGCTAGATGTTCAAGACCCTTATGTCTATTCAGGTGTCCCAAATAAAATGGAAAAAATGAAAGAAACAACAAAACCTTCGTGCCGTCTGCCACGTACCTCTGTAGCATTTCTCCCCAGCATATTGTCCAGCTCGGTCATCACAAACTCACAGACCACACAAAGGTTACCGGACTTCTCCGACACCTTCACTTCTGGAATTGAAAAAAAAAAGATGTAGTTACAGCCACTGTAGGCTTTTTGTTTCTAAACACGATGAACAGCACAGGAGATGTGTTTTTTTTGTTGTTTTTTTTAGTAAGAGTTTTACGGCACTTGCAACACAATAAGGTAATGAAAGTGCCGAAGAATAGATGTGTTGCAAGAGAGTAACATAAACAAAAAGGGAGGAGGGATAAGGACGATAGATGAAGGATAAGAAAGAAGGAGCAAACCACACCAGAGCACCTGCCAACCACCCACTAGATGTGGAGTACAGAGAAGCACAAAAGAACATAATTCAGAGTTTTTTTAAAACTTTCTTTTTTAATGTAAATGTTTTAGTGTCTACGTCAAGATCATTTCAGAGGCAGGCTTCAACCTCGACTGTCAGGGTCAACCCCAGCTGAGAGGGACACAAAATCTCAGCAGAAACGCCGAAATACTAGATTATATAAAATTTTCCCAAATCAGAAATCAAACTCTGGTCTCCTGCATGCTGTAGCGAAGTGCCTAACCACTACACCACAGAGAGTGTGTGCACGAGTGCGTGTGTGTATTTATGAGAGCGTATGTGTATTAAAGTGTGATTGTGTGTATGTGCCTATGTGTGTGTGTGTGTGTGTTTATGAGTGTATGTGTATGTAAGTGTGATTGTGTGTGTGTGCATATGTGTGTTGATCAGAATGTATGTGTGTATGTAAGTGTGACTGTATGTATGTGTGCACACATGTTCGAATGAGAATATTTACATTGTAAAAGATGAAGGGGAAGGATAGGAGATCATGACACACCATGCCAACAATAGGAAAAACCTATCACAGATGAAGACATCACTCACCTTGCGTGCGGGTCTGAGAGCAGAGTCCGAGAGCAGTGCACACCAGCTTGGGGTCCAGTTTCTCCACCAGCAGTTTGACGATCGTCGGTGTGTACTGCTTTACAAGTGCCTCACATTCCGACCTGATCGTGGCCGGCAGAGCGTCACACACTTTGTCAAGAGCAGCTTCGATTTCAGCCTGAAATACACAAAAGTCAGCATGTGCATTATAAAAAGACTTCTGTTACCTCTACGCAGGATGTACAACTTTTTTTTTTGTAGTTTTAAAAATGTGGTCTAATCTAAATTTCAGTCAGAGAATTTTTCCATAACTGCTTCATATAATTTGTTTGAAAAAACAAACATACAACAACTCACAAAAGTTCAAATAGTATTTCAAAAGAATAGGAATTAGAGGCAGAATGAGCATCAAAGGAATGAAAGCCAGAGACCTTAAGAAATAAAAGATCCTTTTTGTGATTCAAATAGAAAAAACATAATAAATATCATAAACAAGCAGGAAACATTTCCAGACACATCATCCTATTTTGCAGAGTAGTTGAAATATTTTCCTGTTTAACCCTTTCCGTTCGCCTGGGGTCATTTTGTACCCTAGGGGTTGTATTCTTCACATTTTAGAATACTTCTAGGGCGAAGATCTCTTTGAAACTTTCAGTATTTCTCAAAAAATCATTTTGACAGACTGCTATGCAAAGCGTACGGATCGGATTAACGAGAGTAAAACACGCTTCGCATAGCAGTCTGTCAAAATGTTTTTTTGAGAAAGTTTCAAAGAGACCTTCGTACTAAAAGTATTCTAATGTGTGAGGAATACAACCCCGGGGGTAAAAAATGACCCCAGGGCGTATGGATAGGGTTAAAGAAAAAATTTCAAGCAGTAAGAAAACATTGCAGTTTCTCCACCACGTACCTCGGTAGCGTTTCCACTGAGGGTATTGTCCAGCTCGGTCAACACAAACTCACAGACCACGCACAGTTCACCATTCACCTTCACTTCTGGAACAGAAAAGTTCAGTTTTAGTTTTAGTAAGTGTTTTACGTCACGTGCAACACAATAAGGTCATATGGTCGCTTTTAACCACATGGGGGCTACCCCAAAAAATGCTGTTTTGAGAAAATTGAAGGTAAAGTTTTTGCCCCTTGTTCAGTTTCTTTAAAAGACAAGGAGAGTTTTCTCTATAACCAAACAAATATACACCAATGAAACCAAACTTCTCCAATAGGTAGGGCAATGCCCACTTTTGGTGTAGGTCAAGATTTCTGGAAACCCTCAAAATCTGGATTAGCCCACTTGTCCTCAAAAGTGACCATATAAGTGCCCAAGATTAGAGGTGTCACAAGAAAGTATCAAACACAAAAAAGAAGGAGGAGAGATAAGGACGATGGATGTTTGACAGGAAAGAAGAAGCAAACCACACCAGAGCACCCGCCAACGCCCACCTGACCTTTCAAAATGAAGCAAAACTGTAACAAAAACAAACACTCACTTTGTGTCTTTGTCTGTTTTTACGAGCAGAGACTTAGCACTGCGCACACATAAAAGAAAACAAACTTTCTGAGCTTAAAAAATGCCGCAAAACCTTAACAAAAACAAACACTCACTTCGTGTCTGTATCTGTGAGCAGAGTCCAAACACTGTGCAAACTTTAAAAAAAGCCTTTCTGAGCTTAAAAATGGTGTAAAACTTTAACACAAACAAGCACTCGCTTCGTGTCTCTGTTTGTGAGCAGAGTCCAAACACTGTGTAAACTTTAAAAAAAGCCTTTCTGAGCTTAAAAATGGTGTAAAACTTTATAACAAACAAGCACTCACTTTGAGCCTGTGTCTGAGCCTGTGTCTGTGAGCAGAGTCCCAGCACGGTACACACGTGCTTGGGCTGCAGTTCTTGCAGCAACAGTTGGACGATCACACTGCCGTACTGCGCCACCAGGCTCTTGCACTCACTGCGGATTGTGGTCGGCATGATGTCACAGACTTTGTCCAGGGCCATCTCTATCTCAGCCTGAGACAGTGTTTTTTAGTATGAGTTATATATAAGTGCCATAGACTAGAGATGTTACAAGAGAGTAACAAACACAAAATAGAAGGAGGAGAGATCAGGACGATAGATGTTTGATAGGAAAGAAGGAGCAAACCACACCAGAGCACCTGCCAACCACCCACTCAGCCTGAGACGACCAGACAATGGGAAACAAAGTTATAGCTGGACAAGGCACAATAGTGCTGGGAAAAAAAAATCTTTAACGACTGAATATCAGATGTATGGGTTTTCATCTTAACAACCATGAGCTGCTCAACAACACCTTGGACTCACTTCTGATTTGCATATTTTAAGGTAAGAAGTACAAATAAATGAATAAATAAATAAGTAAATCAATCAATACATAATTCCATTTTAATGATCCAATTTGAACATTTGTGTTACAATATAAACATATAAATACATATATATATTAATACAAAAATGTATGATCAGAATAACACACAATACCCCAAACATAGACAATCCCTGTGTCATTGTTGATTGCTACTGTGCAATTGGTACAAAAAGACAACTTAAAACCAAGTATTTCAGGAAACAACAAGAAAAGAAAAGTGCTTAGGCATCTTTCCCTAGCACAGAGCATATAGTGAGTTCAATACCACGAGTGTGTGCGCGTGTGTGAGGGCAAGCATGCATGCAGTATAAACATTTTTGTACCTCAGTGGCATTTGTAGCCAGCATTTTGTCCAGCTGTGACATGACAAATTCACAGAGGGGGCACAGGGGGCCAGCATCTACAGAAGGTTTCACCTCTGAAATAAGAAATATTAGAAAAATAAACATGGGAGACTGATTGACTGATAGAGAGATTGATTGATTGATGGATTGAGTAGATGCTTTACCGTACTATTAACACAGTTTTGATAAGATAAGCGCTAAAAGTGGAGATACCATAAGTGGCCTGTCTAACTATTGATAAAAAGGGCAGACACATGTTTACAAAATTCTTCGTAAATATTGTAAAAATTTTACTTATTTGCAATTTTATAATAACATATACACATTATTTTGAACTTTTATATTTTTTTGATTAAACCAATTTCCCTTATATACAAACCTAGGATTTTCTTCGGGTAAATGATGTCCTAAAGAGGATTTATATCTTTACATTTTAACTATTCCAAATGGGCATAATTAATTTCAACATATTCTACCAGAATGTGCTCAACCGTAATTTGGGAGACATGATATGTGAAATTAGAACGCTTTGTGGCTTTTATTCATGTGTGCCTGTGAGGTACTGATCAAGTGTGTGTGTGAGTGTAAGTGAATGCGTCTGTGAGTGTGCGTGAGCATATACGTGCACACTTGAGAAGGTGGGAATGTGTGTGTGTGCGTTTGTTGGTGAGAATGTGTGTGCACAAGTGTATGTATATATTTACATGAAGGAGAGAAAAGGGGGAAAGAGAGGGGAAAACTGTGAGCTTCATGCTTTGATCAACTAGACCGAAAATTACTGTTAACATCATAGGTGTCGATAATACCTTTTTGCCACTCTTAAAATACTCTTTATTATAATTTGTATTATTTTAACTACTATTAATAACTCTTTATTATAATTTGTATTATTTTAACTACTATTAATAACTCTTTATTATAATTTGTATTATTTTAACTACTATTAATAACTATTTATTATAATTTGTATTATTTTAACTACTATTATTTTTATAATTCTAACAATTCGTCTTCTTATAATTACTTTCATTATTATCACCATCATCATTATTGTTAACGTAATTATCATTTTTATTACTGTCAAACATTCAGCAGTGCAATTCAAAACCATAAACAGAAACACTGATGAGTGTAGAAACAAACAAACATGTCGCCACGAGCAACAGACTCTCCCCTCACCTTCGACGGTGACGGCGGCCTGAGAGCAGAGCTTGAGCGCCGTGCAGAGTTTCTTGGGCTCCATCTCCTGGGCGAGGTACTGTAGGATCTGGATGGTGTACTGCTCCACAAACTGGTGGCACTCGCTGGCGACCGTCTGGGGCAGGAGGAAGCACAGCTGGTCCAGGTTCTCCTTGATGGTCGCCTGGAAACAGTTGTTGACGGAGGGAACAGTGTGAGAGAGAGGGAGGGAGGGAGGGAGTGTGTGTGAGCGTGTGAGAGACAGAGAAGGAGAGAGACAGGG